TGTCTCTCCCTCTCAAAAGGTGAGAGTTGGATTGTAAAAAACAGTGGGATGGGTTGGGGAGGCGGGGGGGGCTTTCTATTTTCTGGAGTGATCGCTGAAGCGGACGGCTCTGACATGCCATGACTCAAACGGCATCATTTCTGCCTCTCTTGTCTGGCTGCTGACCTTACAAATGATGCTTTAGGCTCTCGCCATATGCCATTAAGCATGCCGCGAAACGGGGTGGGTTCTCATCCCCCCTCACGTGTGCGACAGCGCCCAGTCACACTCAGTGTTTTGCTTTCTTTTGCTTACCTCTTGGAACAGAAAAGCAGGTTACAGCAGCAATCTTCTCCCCCTGCTTTTACCGTGCTCTTCTCCCCTTCCTGCCCGGCCGGTGTTTTATTGCCTCCTGTAAGTATTGGTCTGAAGCGAGTAGCTGGAGCTTCCCTAACAGGTGTTTGGGTGCTTATCACCCACCGTCTTCGCCCTTATCTCTGGCCCTCAGCTTCCTGCATCCTCTCTCGTGCATGCCTCAGAGTGGGGATATATTTCACTTAGCCTCTGACCTGAAACCTTCCTGTGTATCTCTTTTGGTGTCTTTTGGTGTCCCTTTTTCTTGCGCCGACATACACACTCATTCAAGGGTACACAGGATGAGGCTTACAAGCATTTCATCATCACCAGTTGACTTCAATTCTTTTGTTCTGACCATCACCTCCATGTTGCATGCAGCTCGGAAGAGATTTATGCAGGAACTATCCTAAAGGTTATTAAACCCGTGTCACATCTAAGAATTATTTGTTTGTTTTTTAAAATTTATGACTGAAATAACCATAAATTTTAACTATGAAATGTCAGAGAATGGAAAAACGCTGATCACACAGTGCGTGGTTATTCTTAAATAGATTCCTGATTTAATATCCAAATTGGTCATTTGACGTCAGCGTTTATTAAATGTAAAAAAGAAAGTCTAACTCTTAAATTGAACATGTATATCAATTAAATTAAGTGCTGTCCTCCGAATGGCAAATACTCCTGTTGAAAAAGGGAGGAAAGAAATGTTGAAAAAGTGAAACGTCTTAGTGGCTTCCGCACCAAAATGAGCTTTGATGGTGTTTGTATCTAAGAGTTTGATCCAGCATTTTGTCAGACTGATTGGTCTCAGGCTTCAGCCCCACCTCCGCATTCCCTCTATCCTTTCCTGCTCCCAAGTCTCACAGCGGGACAAAGGCTAAAGTGTCTGTGTGTTGGGGTTGTAGTGGTTTGGAGGGGGTTGACCCCCTCCAAGGACCCTGACAGGGGCCTTTTTTTCCCCCCTTAATCCCCATTCTGAGTGGGTACAGAGCAGAGAGAGCCCACAGTCTTAACACCCATGAGAGAGTCTATTGTTAGCGGCGGGCTCTGTTACAGTAGGATGGATGCAGGGGTCTCAGGCCCAGATAAACTCTGGGGTCAACTAGGCCCCCGTTATTTACAGTAAGCTCTTTCATTGGCCGAGTGAAACGGGAGCCCCCGGCGGAGGTGGAGGTTGGTGGTGGTGGTGGTGGTGGTGCTTCAGTGAACGACCACTGTTTGTGCTCAGCCAGGCCTCCGCTACAGGTCAAAGAGCACGGGGGTGGAGCTGCAGGGGTTACAGACCTGACTTTTGTCTGTATGTTGGGGGAGTTGATCCATCATGGCAGAGAAGAAAAATGTTGACGAAACCAGCGGTAATTCTGACCTCCATTTACAGCTAGTTGCAATGTGACATAACAAAATATGACTTCAATTTAACATAGAATTTAAAAAATGCCTTTCACATTTTGCAAACTATAGGCCAATCCTATACATAATGCCTTTTAAAGCAAAAAACGTAGAACTGTCCTTGTATTTACACAATAAATAACAAACAATTCAAATTTTCTATGTTAGAATTGTGACTTTTGCTCAAATCAATAGAAAAAGTAGTCAGTTCTTCAGCTATAAGAACAAAGAAGAGGTCATCTTTCCCACATCAGTACTGGTGGCAAATAACTTACCGAGTCTTTGCTGCAAAATGAGATTTTGGGAATAATAAAGCATTATTCATTTCAAATTAATTCAACTTTACTCTGAAAATCTGGCATTAATCTTAGTAAAACTGCATCAAACGGTTTTAGAAATCAAGGATATTAACTTGGTTAGGCCAATATTTAAAATGTATGATCTGCATTCATGAATTATGTAATTAGGATTTAGAAATGCAGAATTTCCTCATACTTGTTGCCGAATACAGAATTAGCTCTTCACATGAAATGTTTCATTCATTCGTTTTTTTCAATCATTCTACTTCTCTCAAGTTCTGAGAGTGCATGTTTTTTATGGGCATTGTCCACAGTAGCCCTGTAATAAAATATGCTTTTTGAATAGAGTATTGGTCCGCTTTTACATCACTCAGTCTGAATTACAACCTGCTGAGCCTTCCAACACAAAGGGCGTGGAGAGCAGTGTAAAGGACACAATGGCTGTTTTTTGTCATTTCTGCACAGGGTGTTGCTCGGAAAAGTGAGTATTCTCCGCCGTTACAAATGGCCGCGGGCCTGACTCAATTGTCCTGCGTTGACTTTGTGACCCACAAATGCACAGCTCAAACCTGACCTGCCGTGAAAGGTGAAGAAATGCAGCCGCTAGAAAGAAAAGGCGGGGGGGGGGGGGGAGCTCTCGGCAACTGGCTGTAACCCGATGCTCCAGATGTAGTCGGTTTTGTCATCTTCATTCTCACGTGACATTCAATCTCGTGCAAAAGCCCCTATTTTGTAACGAATCTAAAACCCTTTCGGTCAAAGCAAGTGGGCTCTGCTCTGAAAAAAGTTGCTGCCAAGTCCGTTTAATAACCTTAATCTTACATGATCCATTACCAACCCAATTCCTGTTAGCTGTCTTTCATTAAGAAACAAGAAGGTGCCAAGGGCCAGCATAGTGACAGAAAGAGAACTGGGACCATCTGCCAGAAGATTCAGTCATAATCTCACCTTAATCCTAGTGTCAACCTTCCATGTTATGAGGCAAAGATTAATAAAAGAAAATTAAAAAGCCTAAAGAAAATGTACAATAAGGACGCTGCTCTCAAAGGCTTTCATTTGCAAGAGCAAATTTAGTCATTTTTACTCGGATAAAGACAGTAGGGGTGAGAGGTCAGCACGGGAACTTTACAGATGAAGCGGGGTGTGGTGGGGGTGTGGTGGAGTTTTCTTTGACCCCCCCCCCCACACCTCTCACCCCTATTGAGCAGAGGGTACACAAAGGATTCAGTCAAACTTTAGTGGCCACCGCATTGGCCAAATTCGCCGAGCCACAGATGTTTTGAATCCGGCCAAAGTTGCCACCAATGACCAATCAAAGGAGGAAGACAAAGACGGGAGTTCGTCCCCTTGGACGTTTTGTTCCTATGTGTAAAAAGAAAAGGAGAAAATGGTAGACTGTAACCAACAGCAGCAGGGGTGCCTTTTGGAAATCTTTACTTTTCTCTAGCATTGATGGTTAATAAATTAGACTAAATTTATCTGAATTTTTCAAATTCCAATTGTTTTAGTCACCAATCATACTATAACTATATGAAGAAAAATATTCTTAACTGTGTGACTGCTATGGGGAGCATTCATACAGTGATGATGTCATGATCTGATGGATGTTACTGTTGGCATAAATTTCTACCTTTTTCCAAATAGTTTTTTTATACCCATTAAATATGTTTTCCTGTAGAAGGTGTGATGATAAAGATGTGTCCTCATAAAATAATAGCATAATTACAAAGACATTTTGAAAGTCAGAAATGGCTTAGAATGAAAGATGATTTCATTATTTATTGTTCAAGCATTAATGGATTTGTTAAAAAAATCTCTTGTTTAGTCTGTTCTGAACATGGATAAATTGCTTTATTAAAAGGTAGAAGAAATAAACATAAATTAAGTACTTGGGTCGGTAAAAAAAAACAACAAAAAAAAATTCAGTCTACCCTGGATGTAGTGGGCACTTTCTGTGATTAAGGAATAATTTATTCTTCTTGGTCTTAATGAAAGAGAATTAAGTACAAATAATTTTTTTCTGATTTTTAAACAGAACTCACCCCTACAGTCATGTAACATGTAACAAGGTTTGTGTTGCAGACCTGTTGACATTTTCAACTCAAAAGAGGCAAAAACATACAGAAAATTAAAAGACGCTCTGCCTCTGAGAGCAGACGTGTGACATAAAGCCGCTTTTCCGCTGTACATTTTCTCCGCTTACGTCCCACTTTATGTCCTCTAAAATGCCCTTGACATATTGTGGAGAAGATCAAACGCGGCAGAGAGATGTGGGTCTGCATAAGGATGTCAGGACGCTGAGAGCAAATGCACAGTTTGGCTGGCATAACATGTGGAATGGCCTTTTAGTTCCATCTACCTTTTGTCGTTGTTGAAACACTCTTTTTGTACATCTGATTTCCTTTTATTTTTTTAATTTTTTTATACTCAAAGCATAAAAGCATTAATCTAAATAATTTGTATGTTAAAGTTAAATTTGCTTATCAATTTATTAATCATCAGGTACGTGAATTGTGTGTTTGGTATATTTTTTCATTTATAAAGAGATAAAATTGGAAAAAGTACATTTTATGTGATGATAGTCATTTGCACTGCAGAGTTGCACATATTTTGTATATTGCGTTTCTATATAGGAGATGTTCCGGACAGTGTGTATAGAACAAAATGGTCTTTTGATGAGACTCAATTTAAACTGGCGCTTCAAAACGAATCAAAACGCATTAATTTTTTTTCTACTTTTCATTTTCAGAAAAATGTCGGATGTTTTAGTAGATCTTATACCTTATGTGCACATATCTGCTGTCCATTTTACCAAATATTATTTTGAAAATTGAATAAAGCGAAGTACTTTATGCAAATCTCATGTCAGGTGCATTCTTCAGGGAGGGGTCTTCATTAGCAGACCCCTAATCAGAGCTTTGATGAGGGCCTAAGTGACAAATGAAAATCTTTTAATGTTTTTTTTTTTCTTTGGAGATATAATACATCGCCAAACTGTTGCCGCGAGTCCGATAACCTGCAATATGGCGGCCGGGCCTGTACAAGCGCTGGGAGGTCAGTGGACATGGTACAGCTTTCACATGGCCTTGAGGTCCTGACCCCCACCTTTGTTGGTCATACGCACTCCCCTCTTCCCAGCAAGGACCGAAGCCCTTTGAGCCGAGCCCTCAACCCCCCGCAGAGCGCGCCCCTTCACCACATTAATAGTGGCACTGGAACTAATTGCCCAACCTTAGATGTGCTTGAGACCCAGATTGCCTCAGCTGCCAGCGCGCCACAAACCCCCTAACACTCCAGCCCAAACAGAAGAAAATCCTCAAAAGGAGAATCGCAAAATTGCTGGTTTCCCCTGCCCCGGCCCTTTTGGTAAAAACACGGCTCTCCCCTTCAAAGGGCTTCATTTATTTCTTTGTGCTACTGTAAAAATGTGCATCTATTCAGGGCTTGTTTTCAAAACATCGCCCGCCCTTTTCTTGCGCTGCACGCCCGATTTTTGTCTCGCCCCCTCAACAACGGCCGGGTTTAGCTTTTTATTCCCAAAAAGAAGACTGACAAGTACTCACTATGTACCTCGCGCTTCGGCGAGACCTTCCGACACATGGCGTCCACGGCCATTTTGTGGGTAAACCCATCCGGAACGTGAAAAATCATGGACGGATCAGCCCTTTTTTTCGAACTCGATGCGCTTATAGTTGATCCCTCGTTCCACTTTGTTTTTTTTTGTTGGTTTCTTTTTTTTTTTTTTTTTTCTATCAGCCATACGCTTTGAACTGTGAATTGCAGCAATGGTGTAAAGTGGTGTCTAGCACCAGACTGTTGCTGTTCACACTGTCATGTCTGCCGGCTCCTCCGCGGCAGCGAGCGTCGCCCGAGTTCAAAGAGACGCTGAAAGAGAGGGAAGCAGTCTGGGAGGCGTTTTATGATTTTATTGGTCCGGAGGAAGCCTTGCAGAGGAAGGTGTTGGTCCGTTGTCTGTGCGTAATGTCTTATGGTGTCTCTACACACCGTGGAAGCCTGCTTATTTGTGGCCGATACATCTGTACAGCTGCTGTGGAAATGTGTTCTCTTTTTGTCATCCACCCCTGGATTGTTATATTTTAGTGGAGAAGCAGAAAGGGAATGTGATGATGCTCCTTGTTTTTTCAGGTCAGATCAACTATGGTCAAGTGGACTCTTAATTTGTAGATGCATTCCCTGAAGCTGGAGGCATTTTAACAATCTGAGGGGAATATTATAATGCACGACAATTTTGAGCACGACGTGATTATTTTGAGTTTGATATTTTAAGATACGTTATTTGTGTAAATATATAAGCAATTATGGCCAAATTAAACAAGATTAATGGAGTTTTTTATGAAAGACAAGAAAAAAATAACTTTTATTGTCATTATTCAATATTATAGCTAATAAATCTTCTGTTTTGAAAATTTCCCTTCTGTTCGAAGGGTCAGTGGTTTGATTCCATATTTGAAGAGCCATTTGGCAAAGCTTTAAACCCCAAGTTGTCTACACTTTGTATGAATGTCTGCATGTGTGAAAGACGTAGTGTAAAGCGCTTTGAGTGGCCAGTTTAGCTGGAAAACCGCTATATAAGAGCGAGGCCATTTACCATATAACATAACCATGGTGTAATTCACTGTGATTGAGCCGAAATGACAACATATTTAATAGTCTGACAAACCTGTGTTCAGTAGCTGGATTTATATAATGTAGAATGTAGAATGTATGTATAATAAATGTTTTCCAAGGTTTGAAGTAATTTTATCATTTAGTCGGTGAAATAATTCTTCCTGATCTTCCATCCACCTATGACAAGTCACTTTGATTTGCCACCATGTTAAAACCGTGAGACGTGTTGTGTGAAAATGCGCAGAAATGCGGATGTGCGCCCGTTGTCTCTGGAAGGTTACCATGTAAATCGGTTTGAAAGTGAAGACTTTTGCTTTGTTGCTTCGTTCTGAGCCTTGTAAACACTGAGTTCATCGGCTGAAGGAGGAGCCCAGTTGGATCAAGTGTTATTTGCAAGCAGACTTTAAACGTCCAATAATGACGACAATGGTTTGTTTGCAGAAATCTTTTCCTTTATTCCTTTCTTCAACTTTTTTCCTCCACTAGATTTAGCTCCACTGGCTGTGATTGTGGCTAAAATGTTCTGAAACATTGAGGGGATGAGGCTGAAATGACAATAGAATTCAAAAGAAAAAACATTTTATCCTCTCATAAGGGTAGTTTACATGATTTAAGGTATTAGCACTGTATTTTTTGCGTACATTACTTAATTTGCGTTTCTAAAGAAAAAACCATGTGCACTTAAGAATGACTAAAGGCATTTATGTCTAACCCCTTTTGTCTTTGTTTGCTCCCTTACAAGTCCTAGCTTGTTTATGCTTAAGAGATTAAATTTGTATATTTCTGTCGTTCTTGGGGGAATAAGATGTTGAGACAAGGGATTAATCGGACTGTGATTTATGATAATAAAATTTTCACTGTATAGCAGCATTTATCCTTATATATTATTATATCAGCATCACCACAGGTAGAGATTTGACATGTCTTTCCCTTGACAGTTGGTTTGTACTGACCCTAACGAAGATGGAATTTTTACTATCCACTTCCCCATAGTCTATCCCTTTTTCCTTTAAAACTCTCCAACTAATATTTGAGTTCAGCAGCAATGCAACAAGGAAACTTAAATCAAGGTTTAAGGGCAAATGATACGTAATGTAGCAGAATTGCATTTACTTGATTACGTTTTCAAATGAGCAATCCCAAATCCTAGGAGGTTGACCGCCATTCAAAATTAGATGTTAAATTAGATGAGATTAGTTTTGGGATGGTTATCCGGATGATTGTAAACTGTAACTGTAAAAGCGTAGTAGCCGTGGCCTTTGGCAATGATGTAGGTCATAAACAGAATTAACCAAGGCTTGTTAGGATTGGAAAATATTTCAGCAGTGAGGTGGTCTCAGAAGTAAAAGCCCTCAAGAGTGTGTTTGTTCATCCTAGTGCTGGGCGACTCTTAAGTAAAGCTCATCAGCAGCGATGGAAAAGAGCAGTAACTTTTTTATTTTATTTTTTATTGGACTTCTGGGGGGATTTGTAGAAAAGAAAGCTTTACAAATTGAGTGAGTTCTCGTGGATGCCAGTGCAAATAGGAATAAAGAAAAGCTAATGTACAGTATGGTCAGTGCACTCCTTAATTTTGGTTTGAATAAATGAATAGCATTGGTATTATTTTCTTCTGCTGCTTCCACTCCTTGTTGTGTTTTAATCTGCTGCACACTATCCCATTATTCATATGGACATCTTCAAAAGTTTTGAATAACAATGGCCCTCTTCTGTATTATAAATTGAAGTGAAAAAAAAAGAAAGATTGGTTAGCATGGAAATATTCAAATTAGCCCATTAATGGAAGTAAAGGATGAAAGATTGGAGATGTCTAGTCATTTTCTGCATAGTTTGAAGGATTGAAAAGTGGATGATAAAGGCTAGAACTGTTTCCAGACTTCATGTGTAGCCTGTTGACCAAAGTCCTGTTGTCTGATTTATATAAAACATATGACGGAAAATATTTTGTCTATGGAAAAAAATCCTATTAATATTTTTTAGATGTAAGAAAATGTGTGAGAGCTCTCCATTAATTAAGATAGTTCAGATAATAGCAAGGGCTTTTGGTGTCTATTTGTCACTGAGGCCAGCTGGCTTTGTTAGTGTATTAACAGCATCACAAGTTTATTGAAAACTTTTGCTGCATACAAGCTGAAGACCATGTGTATAGCACCCTGAAAAAGACCAAATTGTACTCATATTGCACGTGATACATGAAGTAGACATGAGTCCTATTATCGTATTGCACATCTAATAATGATTCTTATTCATAGGTATAACTCGAAATTAGATTTGTTCCCAAGCCACAGTGTCAAATAGAAACTCTTCATTTGCACAAAAGTGACTGAATTCCTTAAGGATTTGCAGCTCTTAAAAGATGGTTCCATCTTTTAATGGCGCCTTAATGTCTGCGTCTGCTTTGAATGAGCCAAGTTAACATCTCTACACCATATTATAAATACAAAGACTCTTACCTAGAGGGTCCACTTGATTAAATTAGATTTTAAAAATGGAAATGATCTTTAATGTTGTCACATCTCGACTGCATTTCTTCTTCTTAAGTAGTAGAGTGTAATATTTAAAGTGTAACAGTCATCCCCACTCATGTCTATTAAGATCTGGGCACAAAGTATATTTCAGACAAACATAATCAGATAATAAAACAGATGAACAGCCTGTCAGTGTTTCACCATCATACTACAGCAATACACGTCCACATAAAACATTCCGACCCCTCGTTGCTTTTCTAGGACAGCATCTGCCCACTGACTCTTCGCCCCTACCTGCTCTTTCGAAAATATTGCATGTCATACTCCAGTTTCCGTGTTAGCACGTTACCAAATAATCCATTGCAGGACAAATATCTCTCTTGTGCTTTAAAACAAAAAAAAGAAAATATACTCAAAGCAGCAGGAGCAGTGTCTGTGGACCAGTCTCATAATCCTCCATGGAAATGTGGCCACTGACAGATGTGTGCATGGCTATCAAGAATTACAGCCCCTGATAAGAAAGAATGAACTTGATCCTCTTTTGGCAGCAGTGAAGAAGGCCTGTGCGGTTATTATATGTAAAATATCCTGGACCCGATGTGCCAGCTCTAATCCTATGGCCATGCACATCAAATCTTTTTTTTTTATGCTGATGTAGATTTTTTTTTCTTGTTTGAGTAATATTTGCTTAATGACATGTCTGGCGTCCCTGTTGACCAGTCCTTGATCAAATCAGGTGACTGTCTTAGTCTTAGTCATACTGATTTTTTTTTACCATGAGGCAGCTGAAGCTCAAAGGATGACATGGATTGTCACCTGATCTTGGGGTTGGCAGTTTCGATTCTTTTCAGCAACAGTACTGAAGTGTTTGGAAAGCCGGCATCTTGCATGGCATCTGTGTTGCTATTAGCATTTGTTTGTGTATATGTACATCTATACCCATATGTATATATGCTTGCCAAGTACTTAAAACACAGACTGCTTATGGTTCATACGGACAGAGAAGATCTGAGTGCTGGAATAGCCTTTTTTTAAATTTCTTGTGTAAAAATAGAAGATGAGAATAGCATCAAGATGTCATCTCATATCATGAGATAATCATCAGTCACAGTTTCAATAGTTTAAAATGATTATCCAGCATTATGATCTGTTTTTTTTCAGAATAGTAGAGTTAAAATTATTAGAAGATACT